TGAGCGCCGTAATCGCCGCTTCATCTATGGTGGAAGGGATAGGTTTCGGTTCATCTCCGGTAGGGCTGTTAAAGTCGGTCCTTAATTTCCCCGGACGGGGTAGTATCTCATCCACTTTCGGAAATCCCTCGTCTTCCACCACCTCCATCCCCTCTTCAAGAAGGGGTACGTCATTTTCCGGCACCGGAGCTTCGACAAATCTATCAGATACCAACCATTTGTCTGTCTTGATCGAAATAAACAAGAGCGGCGGAGGAATAGAGAGGATGGTCACGTCAAATTCTGACAAAACCAGAAGTATGAAATACTGAGGAAGGTGGAAGTTTGTAAAATTCTCTCAAGTAAATTGAAAAGCATAACAATCAAATGGTAGATTCTCCCTATTTATAAGAACACAAATGTCTTGAGCGGGAAACCCGAGAGCCGCCAAAAAAAAAAACTGAAAGGGCACAGGGAACGGTACGATGCCTGAAAAACGTGTGCCATAATGACGCATAACGGGCATTCATGGTACCCTGAATCGACGAAACGATCCATCTCTGAACTGACGCAACGGTCGTTAAGGTCCTTGAAGCATCACGTCGCCACCTAGCCATAAGGACCCCGTCCTCGCATAACGACCAGATTTCTCCTAATTCTAGAATCGACAGGATCCACCCATTGCACTCGCCAAAAGACGACCCCAACGGGTGGAGGGACTAACTATATAGGTCAAAATCTGACCATCAGACGGTTATTATTAAAGAAAACGGTAAGAGGTCGGCCAAGCCATGGTCGTTCCCACGAGGCATAATAGTGACGAGTATCGCGGCTGCTGCCGAGATCATGCCATCAAAAGGCTTACACGGCAAAATGTAACACATGGGCGGGTAAGGAAGAAGTATGGATATGAGAGGGCACGCTGGTTAAGAACCATTGAGTAAAAGGGGAAATTGACAATATATATAAGGAAGGCCAAACATAAGGGAGGGGCACCGGGGAAAAAAAAGAAAGAAAGACAGAGAAGACATAGAAGAGATCTCTAGGGGCAAGAAGAAGAAGAAGAAGCTCACGTTCTGGATTACAAACCTGTGCAATCCCCTTCGTTGAATCAATAAAGCTAGATCTCGTAGTTCTCAACAAGGATCATCCTTTATCCTCTTTATTTCTACAAATAAGAAACGATATGTTGAAGTTTAAGCTTACCATTTACATTTAATGTCTTCCATTCAATCTGAGATATGTTATATAAATTCAATCTTGGATTTCAACACTCATAGTTCTTAAATCTAGAGTGAATTATACTTGTCTAAGATTTACTCTCTTTCATCATCAATTGATTTAATCAAAAGAGCTTAACACTTCTTTGGTTAGACAGAGGGGCAAAAAAACATGTTAGCATGTTCATTCATTTTTTCACATAAAATTAGAACTCTAGCAAAAATTGAATTGCAACAGATATGGTAGAGCCTCGTGTCTAATTTTGAAATTAAATTGGTTGAAAACCTTGCTAATATTTGTCTTACGTTGAGAGAAAAAATTGAATTAATCCATACATATGGATATGTATTTTAAATCTAATTGACAGTTTTCATTCAGAAAGCTAAAAGTGATTAAAAAAAAAAAGAAGGAATATCATTCATCATATTGGAAGGTCCCAAAGAAAGAAGTTTTAGAAAAAGCTCAGTGAGTATCCATGCCCTTTTGTCGGTTGAAACAACTTTCATGTACTTTAAGTCTTTAACAATAACTGCTGGACTTATCAACACCTTCCCAAAAGATATAAAACTAATTCCATTAATTATGTGTTTTTCTCCAAATTAGCGGGTCGATTAAGTTGACTTTACTCTAACAAATAACTCTACTTAAGTATGATATGGTAGTTTCGGATAAAATAATGTTTCCTTAACCATTACAACAAACTAGTGTAATTCCACATCACCCCTACCTTGCGAAGGTAGAGAAGTTGTTTACGATAATTCCTCGGCTCAGAAAAAATATAGTCCAAAATAATATTTCCTTAACTGATTAAATTATATTCATAATGCAAAAAAATTGTACGTTTTTTTTTATGTATATTATGTAGATACATTCCAAATAATGATAATTCACCTCTCATCAGGAGGAAAAAGGAAACCTTTGTTCTCGAGATTTAGAACTACACACCTGTTCTCATTTCCCAAAAGGGGATCAAAACTATTATTTACTATGTTGATAACTTGCTAAGACTTAGCTGAAAGGATTTGGTTAATATAATTTTCAAACCCGGCATTCACGCATCAGTGATCGCTTCACCTGTCTAGTACAAATTCAATACAGTTGCTGGAACTAATTAAAGTAATTTTTCACTACTTGTTTGTTGCAGACTTTGTATTAAGTCTATAGTTGAAAAGTGAAAGAGATTGCAGATAAAAAGGCAAAAGTCCACATGGTTTAATTATGAAAGATGCTTCCCTTCGTGACACCCACCGCAATTTTCTCAGCCTTTATACTACAACTGAAAAAACATCAATTACTAACAAGGATTATAGTGCAGTTTGTTTACCTAAAAACGGATAACAATTAAATTTATACTGTTATTTTAAGGGCACGTGATTCACTTAGCACAAACTGAGAGAAAACGTAAATTGAAAATGGAATTAACCACAAATATAAATGAAGCAAACCAACTAAAATGTATAGCCTTAATCCTTGAGCTAGACTGACCTCGAATTAAGTGAGTATTTCGCCGGAAAGTATGAACACAGTAACAACAATATTGAGAGCTTAAGAGAGAGTGAATATATAGTTTTTGTAACGTGATTATGGTCCTCTTTACAAATGATTAGACCCCCTTTATATAGTAGGGGAGTCCTACTCTTGGTACAATTCTAAATACAGTAAGAAACCCTATAATTGGCTAATTAATCGGCCTCCTCTTGATACGTGCCGGGATTTACGCTGTGATCTTCGCCCGATTGTGGATGTTTCCTCTTTCCGTTATCCAACCCGATAAGCTACCCTCGATCTCTGTTTTGTTCGGTCCCCATCTTGGTCGGTCTCGGAGTCTCGAGCTTGACAATCTAACTCTGCGCCATAGTCTAATATAAATCGAAGCCGATCCCTGACTTATCATGCTCCAGCCTCGATTAGCTCACAAAAAAAAAAGCAAGCCCGATTTTGACCGTATACAGATAGTCCCCTCATTTTTTGGAGAGTAATGACAAGAAACGATTTGAGCCCTCGATCTTCATTATGACATAAGCATCATGACGCAAGCAACAGAAGTGACCGAAACGTCCTATCAGAACAGTTTCCCAGGCATTTAATGTGTGCCAGTCGACGGTCGGCCACTTCCGGATTTGAACCGCCGCTGGGAAATTATAAAATACCCTCCTTCTTAACTTTTCAAACTTTATTTTCACATCTTCTTCACTTTAATCTTCAAAATCTTGTGCCTTCCTCAAAGCTTTGTATTCTCAAATCCCTGAGTTTCATCACTAAATATCAAGCGCTCCTCCAGAGTTTCACTCTTCTTTACTCATCAAAGAAAAAATGGCTAAGACTTCAAAAACCGTTCCACGAAAGGAGACTGCTTCATCGTCACGGTCGGCCGGCGAGGAACCGGTGGCGGAGCTACACCCTAAAGAGCTTTTTCCCGGGGGGTGTGTTCTCAATTCTGATTTCAAGTTTGAAAAGACTTCCTCAGTGCCGGGCCGATGCGAGCCGGTATCGAGGTATATATGCTTGATAACCGAAAACTCCTCTCCCGGGTTTAAAATGACGGCAACTGCGGTAACAAACATGTGGCGGTGCCTGCTCCAGAAGAAGCAATCACCACCCATGTGGAAGGGTTCGTAAGTGCTTACACTTACCCTTTCATGTTGGGTCCCTTAGATCCGATCATCATAGATTTTTGCAAGAAATATGAGGTGACCCTCGGTCAGATTCATCCCTCTTTCTGGAGGATAGTGATATTGTTCCGTTTCTTCTCGAGCAAACTTGATGGGCTTTCCTTCACCGTCGGCCACCTCATATGCCTATATGGCCCCCGACTCTATCGAGGAGTACTAATAAAGCTTCAACGTCGAGCCAACATGGAACCTTTCTTGAGCATAGATAAGGACAAAGATCGAGGCTGGATGGGCCGGTTTGTTCGAGTGAAGACCTCGGACTTGATCCTGGCCGAGAGTATGCCATTTCCCGAGAAATGGAATATGAAACGTAAGTATGATTCCGTCCCTAATTTTTGTTTATTGTCTTTATTTTTTCACCCTTTCTTATCAGTATTTTACTGGATGCGGTCGTCGCTTGGATGCTGGGTGTGGTCCCCCAACTCGAGAATCGGGTCAGGAGCCTGATATTGCAATCGACACATGCTGAGCGCGCATGGCGCAATTTGGCAAAGGGTCGATGGGAGGCTAGTAGCCATTGTAAGATTCTCTCTCGACTTAATGATTTGACCATTGTTCGAATATTTTTTCGAACTTATTCATTTCAATTTGTAGGTTTGGGAAGGAGGTGATGATGAGGCCTCCGTCTGGTGATGAAGAAATCCCTCCCCCATCATCTGTTTCAAAGCCGGCGGGGGAGAAGAAGAGGAAGAGGGCTTCGACTTCCGCGAACTCTGAGGGGCAGAAGCTAAAAAAGAAGACAATCCGTAAACCCAAGGGTAACATCACCCCTTTAACTTTGGAGTCAGTCCAACGGCTAAGGGAAGAGCCCGAAGACGAAGAAGAAGAGGGAACCGGGCTGGTGGCTCGTGTGCGAGCCGGTGTCGATGTTCGAGGAACCCCCGAACCGGTGGGGGCTGAGACCTTACCGCGGCTACCAGATGATCTCGAGGAAGCCTCAGCCGAAGTCCCCGAGCCAGAAAAGGTCGAACTTGTTTTGCCTCGAGGTGAGGAAGCTATCGAGGAGGCGGCTGATGCTGATATAGAAACTGGGCTCGAGGCTCCCCAAGATGAAGGCGGTGTCCCAAAAATTTACCTGGGGTAATTGAAACTGGAGATTCCTCCTCGTTCTCGTCATTCACTGAGTCGATGATTGAGGATGCTCAGGATGCGGAGACTTGCCATGATGTAGGGGTCTATAGTGCAGAAGATCCTTTCCATGATTATTTTGTCTGTGTGGAAGACGCCACCGGTCTGGGTGACTTGGAGATACCAAAGAAGAGCTCAAATGAGGCTTCCTCGAGCCTTAAACTTACCAATCGGTTTTCAACTCCAAGTGTTGATCCCGGGCGCAAGCGATCGATTGTCATTTCGGTCCCGGATGATGCTCGGGTCCTTTATGCCCCCATAGGGGTGGATAGCTACCTTCGGTATCTAGTTACCGAAGAGGACTAGGCTAAGACGGACGAAGTGGAGATGCCTTGCATGTTCAATGAAGCTCAACAAGCGTTGAATCAAGTACCCTTAGATACCTTTGACAATTTCAATTTCTGTACTTATGCTTTTTTATACAATTTCCTTTTCCGTGTTTTGCAGGCTTCGGTGTTTCATCATGAGGCCTTCCTCCGATCCCGAGAGGAGTTAAACCGGTATGAGGCGGAGATTCGGGGGCTCACCGAGAAGAAAGATGCCTTCAAACTTCTTAGTGAGCAAAGAGAAGAGGAGGTCAAGAGCCTTCGAAATGATTTAGAGGCGTCCCAAGAAGAGCATGCCGATCTGGTCGAGCAGGTAAACAGAATCTTTGCAGTTACTGAAGAAAAATCAAGCATAGTGACCAACGATCTGAACCCACAGGTCCAACAAAAGATTGACATAATCGGGCAGCTCCGTAAAGAGGTAGAGACTATAAAGACCGAGGCTGAAGAATGGAAAAAGAACATGGATCGCTTGGCCTCAGAAAAGGAGACTGCCCGGGCCCAGCTGGCCTCGACTGAAGTTCAACTCCAAAATATAAAGGAAAAAACCTTGGTGCAAGCCAAGAAAATCGAGGAGCTCAAATCTCAGTTGGGTTTTGTAATTTCCGATCGGGAGAAGTTGGTCGCGGAGCTTGAAGCGGCTAAATCGGAGGTCGAAGCAACCAAGGCCAATGTTGATGCAACGGTGGCTGTTTACCGGGCCGATGCCGAAGCTGCTCAGCTCCGAGCAAAGGAGGTCACCGAGGTTGCTCAGGTTCGAGCAAATTGGGTTGCCAAGCATGCCAAATGCCAGTCTCGGAGGGAGACTGTTGCGGCCAAACGCACACGCAAGTATACACGATCGTCAAGTAATAAAGTGACTAAAAGTCGGATGTCGAACCCACGAGGACTTGTGATTAACTATTAACTATTAGACAATCATAATTATCTAAATAAGAATTAAACCTAGAAATATTTGATTCTAAACTAACTAAATAAAAAAATATAAATAATAAACTTTAAACAGAAAAAGAGAAGATTTTTATGATTTCAATGTAATGAAAACGATCTAGGGTTATGGGTTATCTAACATTCCTATTGTATTCTTCAATTGAATTGACTAACTAATTTATCTAGTTTATTGGTTAACAGGGTTAATATTGCTCATAAGAATCTGTCGAGTTCTTACTCGCCTATTCAAGCTAACCTAACTCCTATATGTCTATGGAATTAGAACTAACAAGAACGCATTTATAATTCCTGTAAATCAACCAAGCAAGGCAATTAGGTATATGTCTATCCTAACCGCGAATCCGTTCCCCGATGCCCATGTTCAAGAACTTGCTCTATTCAATCCTATATGCAATCTAGAATTCCCACTTTCGAGTTCAATTCAAGATTCGTAGATAGTATTCAATTGGTGATCAAACAATCAAATAATTAAGTGCAGGATTGAATAAATAAACCAATATGATAAACTAAGAAATCAAAATCAATATCCGAATAGCAATAGTCATGAAAGAACCACAACCCTAGAACGTGAAGTTTAGCTCCACATAGACATGGTAGCAAAACAACAAATCATACAAAGAAACATAAAAAGACTAAGTTGGTGGAAGAAAAGATAAAACCCGGCCTCCACGGCGGCTCTGTGCTTGTGTTTTCCTCTCAAAAACGTCCTCCTCCCTCAAAATACCGTTTTTCCATGTATATATACCAAGTAGGGTTGGGCCCAAACAATTATACCTTCTCCAATGTGAAAAAAGGACTTTTTTCCCGGGTTTGACTAGCGCGATCGCGCTAGTGGCCCAGTGTTCTGCCTGACGAGCGCGACCTGAGCGTGATCGCTCTATTGACGCGCATTTTTCACCCTGTTCCGTTTCAAATTTGGAAAAACGTAAAACATGAAAGTTGTAGCCCTTTGAGTAAGATTTCCAACCATATATTGTGGAACCCAGATGGAGTTCTGAGCAAAAAGTTATATCTATTTTACTAGACAGTGCGCAATATGCCTACTGGAGTCTTCGTTCGCTCTAACTATCATCCATTGACCCCCAAACACGATCCCGGCTTAATTCCTTGAACTTTTACTCAAACTTTAAAGCTACAAATCACTTGAATTCATTCCATAACATCTACATAGCTCGTAATCACTCCTACAAGGTATAAAACACACCATTAGTGCAAAACACTAGCGATTAAAGCTCAAACTCAATTAAGGTGCAGTAAATTAGAGTGTAATAATCGACCAAATTACGTAATTATAGCCTATCATCAGAGACTCTCAAAGAGATCCACACTCGGGGCTTCGATCTTTCAACCGAGATCGAGAACGCTAGGAAGCTTGAAACTGAGGCCAAGAAATTAGCTTATCCCGATGATGATGACGAATCCGAAAGCTTGAGCGAATCTAAAAGCGCGAAAGATTCCGAGGGCAGAGATGCCACTCTCGGAGATGGAGATGACCAGGCTACTTAGGCATTTAAATAGTTTTGTATTTCTGTCGAGGCCGCTTAGGCCTTTTGTAAAAAACTTCTATCGGGCCGTATTGCCCTTGTAAAAAGATTTCGATGAATATGTAAAACTTTTTTCCTTTCCTTGGCTTCTAAACCTGTTAATTTATGTAAGGGTCAAGACGCCTTAGACTAAAATTATGAAGTTGTATTCTAAGGTCCAAGGTTTGAGATGGTAAGGACCGACAGTAAGTACTGCCATTGACTGCTTCGGATCGGTAATTCGCGAGTGAATGTTCGAACTTTGATTAGAGTTGCCCTTAGGCTTAATAGTTGAGTGAGGATTTGCTCGAACTCTAGCTACAGTGGCCCTTGGGCTCGATAGATAGTCCCCAATTGAGATATTATTCGAACTCGGGTTAAGGTAGCCTTTGGGCTTTGTAGTCGAGTGAGGACTTGCTCGAACTCAAAGTAAAGTGGCCCTTGGGCTTTGTGATCGAGTGAGGACTTGCTCGAACTCGAGATAAGGTGGCCCTTGGGCTCGATAGATAGTCCCCAAGTGACTCGAACTCCGGTTAAGGTAGCCCTTGGGCTTTGTAAATTTTGTATTTGGCCGATCTAGCCTTTGTAAAACGATCTTTTAAACATATATATAAGGTTTTCAACCCTTTTCGGCTCCCGAATTTTTTCCTTTGTTTTACTGCTTGTATTCACAAAGGTTGGAATGCCTTAGCACAAAATAATAAGGTTTTGGTCGAGGGTTCCAACAAACCTTGCCTTTATTGCCCTTCTGGGTTAAGGCGTTATCAGGGTTCGGTGATACCGAAGTTGCTTCACGAAAATGTTTCAAGGTTAAGATTTTTTCGAGGGTAGCCTTTAGAACTGGTTGTGAAAGAATTTTTTCTTTTTCGAAGGCGTATTTTTGTTATGGATTTCGGACATCTCCGAACCGTGTTAAATTGGCCGTAGCCTTTTAGTTTGGGTGTAGCCCAGTGAGCTCGCTTTTGAGTTATCCAAGCTTGCCTAAGATAACAGTCCCCGAGTGGGTATGGCCGTAGCCTTTAAAATTCGATGTTCAATAGTTCGATCTGTTCGCGTTTATTTTTTGGACGGCAGTCCCTGAGTGTTGGAGTGATTATCTGAACTCCGATTGCAATCGGCCCTTAAGCTCGTTCCCATAATAAATTGAAAGTATGGAATTGTAAAATAGAAAAAACTTTTTCTAAGACATGAAATAATTGTAAGGAAAAATTCTTCTCTTTATTCTTATGAAAAATGATTACACATGCGTACATGTCTTGATCAAGGGCTCGAACAACCTATCTGGGCACGGTTCGTTCGACCGTTCAGCCCTTTCGAGACCCCATCATTGTGAAGTAATTTCCTCGCAACAAAGTTGCATTCAAAAGGTAATATCCCTCAGTATTCGAGGTTTATTGTAGGGAAACTCGGATACTGTTAAATGTTGTCTCCGACACCGATTCGTGGCCGACCTTCGATTTTTGAGTTAGCTCGATATGTTGTTGCCTCGTTAAAATTCTTGCCAAAAAACCCAATTGGGATAAAAACGGTTAAAGAGAAAAAGAGTGCAACGCGTGCTTCAAGACCCAAAGCTTCGTGCAGCTCTTCGTTGATAACCTGCAAGTGTTAGTCGAAGAATAGAAAGAATTGAAACGGGGTCGTACCTTCATTCGGATTTCGTATGCTTAATGTGACCTTCCTCATTACCAAGTCCTCGTGAACTTTGACCTGGATCATTCCATGTAGAATTTCGCCCAGGTCCACTGTTTCTAGGTCCCTATTATACGGTTGATATCGATCTCTTTTTTACCTTGGTTCTCGGTCGATATCTCTCTTGATTCTATCTAGGGGCCTGTTAGGATAAATAGACCTGGAAAGAGTCCCCAATTGATCATCCTCGACCCTGATCTTCGACTGATATCGATTATGTACATCGGCCCAAGTGACACCCGGATACTCGATCAAATTTTGCTTCAACTGTTGTAAAGCTATGGAAATCTTAATGTTGAGACCTTGAGTGAAAGCTTGAACAGCCCAATCGTCGGTGACCGGTGGAAAAGCCATTCACTCCATTTAGAACCGAGATACGAATTCCTTGAGCATCTTGTTATCTTTCTGCCTTAACTTGAAAAGGTCCGACTTTCTTATTGCAGCCTTAATGGCTCTGGCGTGCGCCTTAACAAAAGAATCTGCAAGCATAGAAAACGAATCAATAGAATTAGGCGGTAAATTATGATACCATATCATGGCACCCTTCGATAGAGTCTCCCCTAATTTCTTCAGCAATACGGATTCAATTTCATCATCTTCCAAGTCATTTCCTTTGATGACGCACGTGTACGTGGTGACGTGTTCATTTGGATCAGTCGTCCCGTTATACTTAGGAATTTCGGGCATACGGAACTTCTTGGGGATCGGCTTCGGAGTCGCACTTGGGGGGAAAGGTTTTTGTACAAACTTTTTAGAATCTAGTCCTTTCAATATTGGTGGTGCCCCCGGGATTTGGTCGACCCTGGAGTTATAGGTTTCCACCTTCTTATCATTTTCCTCGATCTTCTTTCCCTTGTCGCGATTCGCTTTATCAACTCTTCGAGCATTTTTATAATAGCGGGATTGGTCTCTGATTCCTTCTCATTCTATTTTCTCGAAGTCGATTCAACCCTGTGCACAACTTCTTGGGACGACTCGAGTTCGACCCTGCTCGGCGTGTGGTTCTGATTTTGGAGCTTAGCTATTGCTGCCTGTTGGGCCTGCAATATTTCGAAGATTATCTGTAGGCTAATCCCGCCATCTTCACTGCCATGCGCATTCTGAGTAATTGATCGGGTACCCCCACGAACGCTGCTTTTGGGATCGACGACCACATTTCCATTGATGGCTACATACGAACTGACGTCGATTGGGTATACAGCCGGAACTTCATCGAGGCAAGCAGGAGGTGCAACGTTTTCTGGTGTAATGTTCTCATTCTCGCCGTGGTGGCTGAGATCATTGTCAATGTGTTGAGGTGCTGACAGAGAGTTTGACATCTTTTAATCCTGTAATCACCTCAAAGATCAAGCGTAAAATAGTGTGTGTTATGAAAATTTGTACCAGGCAATCACTATTATCCTTAGCCCCACGGTGGGCGCCAAACTGTTTACCCTAAAAACGGATAACAATTGAATTTATAATGTGGTTTTAAGGATACGTGATTCACTTAGTAGAAATTGAGAGATAACGCAAATTGACAATGGAATTAACTGCAAATATAAATGAAGCAAACAAAGTAAAATGTATAGCCTTAATCCTTGAGCTAGACTGCCCTCAAATTAAGTGAGTATTTCGCCAGAAAGTATGAACACAGTAACAACAATATTGAGAGCTTAAGAGAGAGTGAATATATAGTTTTTGTAACGTGAGTATCGTCCTTTTTACAAATGATTAGACCCCCTTTATATAGTAGGGGAGTCCTACCCCTGGTACAATTCTAAATACAGTAAGAAATCCTATGATTGGCTAATTAATAGGCCTCCTCTTGATACGTGCTGTGATTTACGCCATGATCTTCGCCCGATTGCGTATGTTTCGTCTTTCCGTTATCCAACCCAGTAAGCTACCCTCGATCTCTGTTTTGTTCGGTCCCGATCTTGGTCGGTCTCAGAGTCTCGAGCTTGACAATCTAACTTTGCGCCATAGTCTGATATAAATCGAAGTCGATCCCTGACTTATCATGCTCCAGCCTCGATCAGCCTCACAAAAAGGGCAAGCCCGATTTTGACCGTGTACACAGTTGTAAGTATTTCTTCATATTTCGGGTTCAGATCGTGAGTATGGAATCGCTTTTGTTAAGGAGTACGAACTCCATTGCGGATACCGAACAAGCAAATACCGAGAGACCATTAAAAAAAATTCATTCTAAAATTGTATCTGGAGCCATGCATTATGATACTAGTTGAAGTGAAGGGAATTAAATTAATTTAGAGGAATGAACATAACCGGATTTGACAGATCCAATCTTCTACACACAAATTATAATTTAAGGACTGTTTCAATCTAACAGTTGGTGAGCTAGGTAATCCTCCAACAGAAACCATCTTCGTCTTATTATTATTATTATTATTATTATTATTATTATTATTATTATTATTATTATTATTATTATTATGTTAGGTTCATCCGAAAAGTCAGAAACCATCTCATTTGTTATATTTCATTCCTACCACCAGTTGCACCATTTGAAGCCGAACAATATATATTCTCTATGTTTGAAAATATTCTTGATTTTTCCTCAGTAGAATTTGTTTAATTCAACAAAAAAGGGGTGCTGAAAACTTTACAATATCAAATAAGTCAAATGTGGCTCTACATATTTCTCAGAAAATATTAAATACCAGCATTAACTTCCACTTCCTCCATTCCTTTTTCTAGTCCAATGGACAAGTAAAATGGAAAATTAACCCATTTTCGCAATAAGCGTGTCAAATCAAAACATAAAAAGGTAAATTAGTGAAAATTTATAGTACGGTGAGACCATTCTATAACAACACATCTGTATAATAGTCAAGTTTTTTCTTGAAACCAATTTTACTTTATACTATAATATATGTCCTCTATAACAATACTTTTCTATAGCAGTCAAAAAATAAATATTAAAACAAACAAGACTGTTATAGTAAGATTTGTCTGTAATATTAAAATTGTCAAGTAAGACAAGTGCAATTAAAATAACATGAAGCAACTCTTATATTTAATCAATGGCTTCTTTGAAACCTTTTTGACTTTATGTCTTTTCATTTTCAAACGCCATAATTAATCCCTGACCCTCGATACACTTGGGGAGTAATTGTTATAATCAACTCACCTTTTTCCATATAGTCAAATTAACGACTAAAAGCTTTCTTTTAAATTAAATGTATTGATGGTATAATCTTTTTAATATTATTGATGGCATTTAACCTTATGTCCTATGTTACTTATTACTTTTTCAGATTATCAATTAATAGTATTTAATTTACTTGTAAT